CCAGCATGGAGGCGGAGCCCATCCGAGCGAAGCCGCAGTGGCGGCGGGTGGAGGACCCGGTGGTGCACTGCCTGGACGGCGAGAGCCTGCTGCTGACGGGCTTTCCGGGGACCGGCAAGACCCACCTGGCCAAGAGGATCGTCGAAGCCTGCGCATCATCACCGACGGCGGACCACTGGGTGCGGCGGAATGTGCGCAACGGCCACTGCAGCGCCACCTGGCTGGTCATCGAAGAACTCACTCAGTTAGATACTCCCTTGTGGGCTGACATAGCTTGTCTGAGCATGAACAAGAAGATTCGCTTCTTGCTGCTCGGGGACTTTAGGCAGCTGCCCGCGGTGCTGGATAGCTTCGCCGGGGCGGAGGTCTGCAAGGAGCTCAAACACAGCCAGCTGCTGCACGATCTGGCGGGGGGCTGGTGCCACGAGCTCTCGGAGCGCTGGCGCTTCGACGAGCGGATCTTCGAGTTCTTGACCTGGCTGAGAGTCGACGAGCCGGAGCAGGTCCCGCTGGTCGATGCTGTGCGGGAGGCCGGGCGGCGCTTCCCGAGGCGGGGGAGTTCAGAGTCTGTACAAGAAATAACTACAAGATTGAAGCCAAGATTTCGAAGCTTACACAGCCGGCGTTTGTTGACCACTTCCCATGAGTTTCCATGAATAAAGGTCCTGCTGATGAGTTTCTTCGGTTTGCCATCTTTGCGTGAAGAATGGACAAGTCAACTGTGGTGAAAGAAGCAAGCAAAGCATCCCCCTTCGTTTCCTTTCACCTCCTTTCCTTGTATTCCTTTCTCATCCTCTTCCTTCCTTGATGTCTCCTGCCTTTCTTGCTTGATCTAGGTCTTGGTCCAGCGAGATAGTCATTTGCTCGCCATGCACACAGACATTCATTCTGTCTTTCTTCGGTTTTATCTGTTCAAAGATATACACATATAGGTATATGTGTGTATATGCATACACAGTGCGCATATATGTATATACGTATGTGTACGTATTTGGAAACCTAACCGTCTATGTATGTTTTAACATTTCGGTTCATCTGATTTATGAACTGGCACTTGGAAACTGAGAAGCTGTGGACCCCACCATTGTAAGCTGAGTCGCATGTGCCTAACTCCAGCCAACAGCCATGCGGCATTAACATTGCATGCCTAAACCCTAAACCCCAAACCCCGAACCCTAAACCCCGAACCCTAAACCCCAAACCAGGCGGGAAAAAACACAAACCCTAAACTCTAAACCCCAAACCCTGAACCCTAAACCGTGCGAGTCTGCGAGGTTTCTGCGACAGCTCCTTTGGCTTGCTGTCTCGTTTACCTCGGTCGCTTCCCCCGGCACTGGATTACTTCGGGCTTGAATTTCTGGTTAATTTAGGGGCCCGGATAAGTAAAGCAAGAGTCGTGGGTACGTTATAGTATGTTCATATCTGTACCTTTCAGGGGATAGCATAACTAAATGTTTAAAAGTGAGATCTCTACATTATGAAAATTCTCCACCTCTAGGGCGTCACGGCCCATGCTGCTTTGGTTTCACCCAGTTTTCCATTCGCCGCGTCTTGCTTGCGCTGCCATCGGCGATAAACAAGACGCCTCTTGCTGATTTTGGCTCGCCAAATAAGAAGGTGCTTGTTCTGACAAGTGCCCAAAGTAGCCACACAGGTATCGTCAGGCAACGCAACGGTCTTGCCGTACTCTGCCCTACTCTGCCCTGCCTTTTCGGCTTGGCTGCAGAATTGTGTGGTTGTTGTTAACCAACATGGACCTAACAAAGAGTGGTTTGCCGCCTCAGACGGCGTGGGGTGGGTGAGTTATGTGATGGCCCGCCACAGTCGGGCCATGGCTGCGATTCGCAGGCAACAAAACCGCTAATATATCCTACAATCCTTGTTACACTACCGCTACGCAATCTTGCAACAAACCCCAAACCCTAAACCCCAAACCCTAACCCTAAACCCTATACCCTAAACCCTAAACCCGAAACCCTAAACCCTAAACCCTCAGACCGGTGCCTGGAAGAGGAGATGTATGAAGGGGATCAGGCGAAGGACATCGACATCATGCAGGGGACTGAGTTCATAACTCTGGGGGTTTAGTAGGGATGAGGGTTCCCATAATAGGGTTCATATTAAGGAATCCCTACCCCAAGAATCTTAAACTCATGGGTGTCGCGAATCCCTGCAGTCTTACCAGCAGGAACCAAGCACTTGTGATCTACGAAGAGGCCCCTATGAATAACAGCCGGTTCGTAATCAGGTTCCTACACGACCCTAAAAAAGCTGGAGCCCTTGACCCTCCACCCTAAAGCCGAAAAGCTGGACAGCATGTTGTGAAGTATGAATACTTGTTGGTGCTTTTCAGCGCTAAATGACGAGGATTGCAGGGCCAGGAGGCGCCCCCTGGGAGGTGCTCCCTGAAGTTTGCGGTCATTTCGGTGTCTGTCTGTGTCTGGTGTGCACGGGTCCATGCGTGGTTAGAGGAGGACACTCCTGCTGCCAGCAACAATCGGAATCGGTATCGTAGTTCTTGCAGCACTAGTAGCAACAACTACTAGCCAGAATTATGACCAGAGATTCAAAAGTTCACTCGTTGCTATGACCGCCGGCAAGAAGCAAAGCAAGCTCACCGCAGTAACTGCAAATCCTTCTAAGACTCCTGGTTTGCGGCTGAACCCTGCCCTCCAAGCCCGAAGCCCTGAACCCTAAACCGAGCAAAGGGGGCCAGATATCTCCTAGTCTACTAGTTACTAGGCCTTCGGAGTGCGGTCTGGAGGCTGTAGCGCAGTCGGAAAAAGGAGCTAAAAAACAAAACTAAGCCGACCCAGCCCTGGCCGATCCCGAAGTAGGATCGTTATCCCGTCACCCGAAACTTGATGTGACAGGAACCGGCCCGAAAATGAGACTTTCTCCAAGTATGGACCCTGAAAGACAGGATGCTTAGTTCAAGGACTCCCAAAGAAGGAGCCTCACACATTCTGGGTTCTTGTTAATCTAAATTACCATAATAGGGATCTACAGTAAATACTATGGTTTCCTTATCATGGTAACTTAGTTGAACTCCTTAACAAGCACGCAGCATTATAATTACCTATACTATTTTGGGGGTTCCTTATTATAATTTAAATTTTAATCGTATAGTGGGCCCCAAAGCCCTACTCCTCCAATTAAATACCCTCATAGATCCCTTATCGTAGCCCTTTAAGGACTCCTTTAAAGGAGCCCTATTCTAATCAGCATTTCGATGAAATCTCCAAACACAGACGCCGGAGACTGCGCTCAGGTTCGGGACCGGGGAGCTTCGAGGCGTGTAGGGCCTGTGTTTAGGGTTTGCGGTTTAGGGTTGAGGGGTTTAGGGTTTAGGGTTTGCGGTTTAGGGTTGAGGGTTTAGGGGTTTAGGGTTTAGGGTTTGCGGTTTAGGGTTTAGGGTTGAGGGGTTAGGGTATACCTTAACCATCCATAACCCCAAATTTGGGTGTAAGCTGTTGGTTTAGGGTTTAAGTTTAGGGCCTATATAGGGTTTAAGGTGTAGGCCCAGTGTTTAGGGTTTGCGCTTTAGGGTTGAGGGTATACCATAACCATCCTTAGTAAACCCTATAAAAAGTTGGAAACCGGATAAAGGCCAAATAGTGCTGGGATTCCCTATACATTACTCTTAAGGATTGAGGCTGTTGGCTTTCCAGCTGTATGAAAAGGATGCCAAAATAAGGTACCCCTAATTCTCGGAAACTCCCAAATGACCTACCTTATCAAGGGCTTGTATAAAGAGTCCATACTAAGAAACTCTGAAAAGGTAGGTTTTTCTACGGTCCAGTTTAGATTTAGGGTGTTGGGTTTTCCCCCCTCCTTCTTAGTACTGCTCCTGCTGCAATATAAATTGCCACCGATGATGCCACGTCGGCTACTAGAACCGCCACCACCTCGGCCTAGATCTACCGAGCATAATAGAGCGGTCTGAGTGATGGGGTTCGTAGTTGAGTAATATTCCCGTTTGCTCTGTATATGCTTCTTATGATCGACACTCCAGGACCTATTCTAATCATTAAGGCCCCCGCACTATGCCGACAGTTGATGTTTCGGCCCACGACGTTAGTTGAAGCTGCACTTTTGTTGATTATTATTGTGTGCTTTTGTCCTCGTTCTGTTTCATCAGTCGCAACTCCAAGCACTAAACCTTATAAGCCCTTGACCATCCCAAAATGCTTAGAGCTTCCATGATAAGTATGTACTATTTACCCAGCCGATCACGTTTAGGGAGTCCGCAAGAAGATGCGGCCCTGGATGTATTGCGTTTAGACCCTACCTGCAGATAGCATCTTTGTGAAGCCCGCAAAGTCCGTGCAGCACCCTGGACCCTCAGCACTAAACCTAATCGCCGCTAAGCTCTAAGCCTACCCCAGCCGCAGCCCGAGACATGCCGATGCATTCCCTCACTCCCTCCAGCTTAACCCCTCCTCTCCGAATAATTGAATCCACATGATAGTACTGGCTGAGATGTCGGGTTTCAGGGACCACTTTTGGGTTGATAGTGTTCAGGTCCGACCTCCACAAGAACAGCATCTTCTGCGCGAGCCCGATACTCACAGCCGACCTCCTAGATCATGAATCAAAGCCCCCAGGGCCCCTGGACCCGAAACCACCGAAGCCTTCTAAACCCCACGCCGAGACCTTACAAGGTTTAGGGTTTAGGGTTTAGGGTTTAGGCCACCTCCGAAGCTAAAATAGCCAAAACAAATATGTAAAGCCCTAAGTCAAAAATCATGAATCGCTAGGCTCTAAACCCTCACCATGCCTGACTCAACCCTACACCCCCATTCTTACACACCAATCCCTACAATCAATCCCTAAGATCCTTAAAATCCCTAAGATCCCTCAGATCCCTAAAACCCCTAAAATCCCTAAAATTCCCAAGATCCCTAAGATCCCCAAGATCGCTAAGATCCCTAAAATCCCTAAGATCCTTAATATCCCTAAAATCCTTAAGCTCCGAAAGACAGCAGAGCTGCTGAGCCATGGGCCTCGCGGACGCCCTGGACCTTCCCGAGGTCGCAGAGCCCTTGGGCCGAGAGGAGAAGCCTTACGTGAAAGGGTTCTATAGGGGTTCCTTTAAAGGGATCTATAGGGGTTCCTTTCTTCAGAACAGGCTTCGGGGTACGTAGAAATACTTTTTAAGTTTTGGTTATTATATAGTAGAAGCCAGAAAGTTGGAACATGGCTTCAGGTGCTAGGATCCCTTGTACTTTACACTAAGGGCATGAGGAGAAGCCTTAAACAGTAATGAGGCTCCTACAGTCCCAATTCCTCAAGAGTCAAAGCCTGCACTTAGACCTTAGTTTAGGGTTAACTTAGGACTTAGGGGTACTTAGAAATAATTTCAATTTTTGATTATTAGAATCCCTAAGAAACAGCTAAAATTATAATTTATGCTGGGGTTCTAAGTTGAAGCTTCGTGGAAGACTCAGGGGCTTAGGGGTTAGGTGTTAGGGTTTAGGGGTCAGGGTTTAGGGGGTCAGGGTTTAGGGGGTTAGGGTTTAGGGGTTAGGGTTAAGGGGTTTAGGGTTAAGGGTTTAGGGTTTAGGGTTAGGGTTTAGGGGTTAAGGGGTTAAGGGGTTAAGGGGTTAGGGTTTGGGGGTTTAGGGTTTAGGGTTTAGGGGTTAGGGGTTAGGGTTTAGGGTTTACGGTTTAGGGTTTAGGGGTTAGGGGTTAGGGTTTGGGGGTTTGGGGTTTGGGGTTTACAGTTTAGGGGTTTAGGGTTTAGGATTTGTAGTTTTGGAGTGTGGTTTGTTTTAGGGTTTTGAGTTTAGGTTTTTTGTAATGTTGGAGTTGCTTGGTTGATAAAACTTGTCGTTATTACGTCCCTGAATTGAGAAATGTTCTTGATTGAGGGGTTCGTGGCCTCGGGTTCGGTTCATAAATCTGAAACCTGGAGTCAGGTATTTCTTTCAAACTCGAATCAGTTTAGGTCTGCGAGTTTGGGCTAGAGTCACCCCCAAACCCCAAAATCCACAACATAGAGGGCATATCCACCTCGAGCCCAAGTGCCAAGTTCCCTCTTACCCGGTGACAGTGGAAAACTACTTATAGCAATAAGGCCCTTGGTAGCAGCCCTCGTATAGACTGTTACTGTATGGGGTCAATACCCGAACCATCACTGTTATTGAGGGCATCGGGGGAAAAGCTTCTGACCTCCAAGTTCCAGCCAGCTCCAGCTTCCAAGCACACGTACCGTGTGGAGGCCCCATCACAGAGCGCTTTCATTCGTCGTACTGAACCCATCTACGAGCCCTTGTAGTACTGGTAAGAGAGGAACCAACAACAACTTACCAATACTTGGTAGCTGAGTATAATAAACTTTAGACTTTTTGGGATAATGAAACCGTCTTAAGACTGAAAGTTTAAACTTCTTTGGGCTAATGAACTCGGCAACTATGAATACTATCCTTTGAGATTCCATACTCGAATCTTGTTTGCATATAAAACCCTTCTCAAATGATTGAGGCCCCAAGATGGGAGTGTCCGAAAATTAGGGGTACCTTAGGGTTACTATTCAGGGGTGCTATGTTAGGGTCCCCTAGTTTCGGAAACTCCCAACCCTAAACCCTAAGCCCTAAACCCTTACAGGAACCCTTATAGGGGTGCCTTATTTTGGGGATCCTGCTGTTTAGGGTACTATATTCGGGTCCCCTAGTTTCCGAAACTCCAAGATTAAGAGAGGAGCAATGGGCCAGCGGCGTCTCTGAGCTTCTGGCTTGCCTCGATGAGAGCTCTTTGAAGGACACTGGGTTGTCTAGGGTTTAGGGGATTTGGGGTTTTGAGGTTTCGGGGTTTAGAGGTTTAGGGGTTTTGGGGTCTTGGGGGTTTAGGGTTTAAGGTTTGTCGGTTTAGGGTTTACGCCTTGCGGTTTTTGATTAGTCCAGGGCCTTTTGGGTTTAGCCCTAAGTCTTAGGTGCATGTGCCCAAATGGTATATACAGTAAAGTAGTCCCTATTTAGGTACATTGGGGCCAATGTATATACTATTTGGGTACATGGACCCTTAGGGCAGGGCAAGCTTAGGGTGTGCAGGGCCATGGGCTTTGGGTTTTGTGTTGAGGGGTGTCGGGCTTTGACATCGTTGGACATCTTTGGTTTGTATTTATGGTCGAGGAATCATGCATATTCAGGGTATAGGATGGTTCTAAGGTTAATAAAGTCCACTTCAAGAGTTGCAGAAGAGGTTGATGCGCACATGCGGTTAAGTTCAGGACAGGCAGCAATAATTCAGTCTCAGCTGCCTGAGTGCAGTCTGTGCTACACCTTCTATAAAGCTCAAACCCTGGTACAAAACCGGATCAACCTTCACCCCCGAGCGAAAAACTAAACCCCAGACGCTCAAACTACCTAAACCCTACCACCCGGCAGCAAACAACCTAAGCCGTTAACTCTTAAACCTGACAGCCCATGCAAGCGGCACAGCCTAAACCCTTAAACCTTACCCTAAGACCCTAAGACCTTAAGCCTTACACCCTGAAGCCTTATCAGCCTCACTGAAACCTGCGACCGAAAGGCACCCCGGGGTTCCGGTAGCTTCGAAGCTTTGGCGGAGAAGCGGCGATCGCAGAGGCCCTGGGTCAAGGGCCTAGGCCCTAGGCATTTAGGGGTGTAGGGGTGCAGGGGTGTAGGAGTTTGCGTTTAGGGTTTAGGAGTTTATAATGGGATATAGGGGTTTAGGTGAGTTGACAGAGTTTTACACGGGCCTTGTGAAGCTTTGCGGTGTTTATATAGGGTTTGCTGAAGGTTTCCGTACGCGTGTGCAAAGGTGGCGATACAAGGGCTGTGTACGGGTTTCTATACGGGTCCCTGCTAGGGGCTCGAGGGTTTTCAGGTATTGGGGTGGTTCCCTATCATAGTCATGCTATAGTGGGGCCCAAAACCTTTTTCTAATTATGAGGTTACGTCAGGGGTCAAAGGTTTTGTGGGTTTCTGGTGACCTAGGAATTCGGACTCAGGGCTACCTGAATCCAAAACCCCTAAATCCTAAACCTTTGGGGATTCCGGTTAGTATACCCTAAATACCCACTACTAAAGACCATCAGGGCTCTGTTAAAGGGTACTTGAGGATTCGGGGTTTAGAGGGTCTACAGCTTCGAGTTGCAGGGCGCGGGTTCGACTGGGGGGTTTCCTGTTTAGGGCTCCGCTTAGCCCCAAGCCGCCGAAACTGAAGTCCCGAGGCTCTACTAAATCGAGAGGCTACAGGGTTTAGGGTTCCTTAAAAGGCATCCTTATAGGGATCTATAGGGCTCCTTAAAGGGGTCTACAGGGTTTAGGGTTGAGGGTCTACTTGGAGGATCAATGGGACTTCGTAAGTATGGTTCTAAGTAGCCTAAGTGGGGATATAGGTAGTCATCAGTACAGTTACCTTAATGATAACCCTAGTTACTAAGTCCCATGATCCTCCAAGTAAGCCTGAATCTATTCATAACCAACAGGGGAGAAGTGGGCACACTTCACAAGCCGGCAGCGACACGACCGTGATTAAGAAGTGGGGCTTCGTAAGACAAGCTGCGGTGAGTGTCGGGTATGTGGTGTCGCTGCTCACGGATGCCTGGTAGCAGAGGATGACCCGTCCGTTCATTGGAAGTCGCTGCTCCTTGGGTACGATCAAGTTGCCGATGAAATACACTTGCGAGCGGAGTTTCGAATGCTTGCCATGCTGATCAAGTTGAGTCTTTGGCTGTTCTGCTGCCGGGAGCCAGCGAAACCCAAGGACGCAGGTGACATGGCTCCTGAAAGCCTATGAACATCCCCGAACCGCTAAACTCACCCAGACCCTTAAGGTTTAGCCCCCGCAGACCCGTGCACAAGGGGTCTGAGTATTCAGTACCACCGTGCCCTTGATTTTGAAATCGGCAGCGTAAAGCCCGAAACCATGGATCAGATTCAGCTCTGTATATCATACCATCTCAAAAAACCCCTTCAACTTAAATCCCGGTAAAAACCTTTAACAGCATGTTCAACTTCAGAAAAACCTATAGAGCCCTTGCCCCCTTTCCTGGAGGCGGCGGCAGGCCGAGAAGGTGGTGGCCCAACGGATTTCCTCAAGCCGGGCGGTTGCCGAGGCGCAAAAACTGATCTCTAAAGGAGGTCTGAGGAAATTGCCGATAAGGTTTAGGGTTCATAGTAGGGGTCATAATGGTCTCTCATATGGGGTTTCAGAGCGTTGTTATCGAAGGGGTTGTAGGACTTCACCATTGGCTGGCCAGGATATACACTTACACTTATCGTCCTTATCTCGTTCTGTTTATAGTCACCGCCAAACTCTCCTCCAATTTGTGAAGGCCCCTGTAGTACACAGCTGTTTTGGAAAGACTGTGGATAAGGTTGCTGCAGAGGTTCTACAAGCTTCAACGAATGGCCTAGGCAAAGTATTACAGAAGGGTTTTGTTGGGTTGATAGGGTGCAATTTGCCGTGAAGAAGAATTGCATGTGTACAGTTGTTAATTGGCTTGTATTGGTGCCATGACTTCTTTCAGGGTGTATCCACGTCACAAGGCTTTCAGGACTAGTTCAACTGATCTCGAACCTGCCATTCTGTTCTTGGTTGTCAACATTTCCCTAAACCCTAAACCCTAAACCCTAATTTATTGTTCCTTCTGATGGGCCGCTGCAGTCGTATGACCGACCTGTAAGTTAAGTGGCACTGGGCCGTCTTCGTCGTCGCCGTAGTCGTCGCTGTCGTCGTTGTAGTATCAAAGGGGAAAGGGATGGACCCTTAATGGGGACCCCTACCCTATAATGGGCTATATAATGGCTATATAATGGCTAAATTGAGGGTATATACCCAGGGGTCCTTAGTAAGGGTCCCTCCTTTTACCCTCGGATAGTAATTCTTGTTATCTACCGGTCTTGTGAGCGGTGGTAGCGGCGGCGGTGGTGGCGGCGCAAAAGCAAGCAATACTCCCAGAGACTCCAATACCCCTTAATTAAGGAATATACCTTAAATCATACTAGGGACCCTACTATAGTTTAAGGTATATTCCTTAGTTAAGGGGTATTGGAGTCTCTGGGCTGTTGCCGGGGCCGGTCGCAGCGCTGTTGGTCCTGTTCTGTTAGGGTTTAAGTCCCTGACCCTCGCAGGCACACGGAGCTCTGGGACGATTTCTGGATAAACGGGCGGGCAGCGTGCAGGAGGCAACCAGGGCTTTGAAGTGCCATACTTTCATACTTTTTTGGGTACTTTTTACTTACGTAAATTAAATTCGAATGAAGCACTATGAACCAAAATTTTATACTTTAATGCTTGTTTGGGGACCTGTTGCTTAAAAGGAGCCACCATGAAACGAAAGTTCGTACTTTTGTCTCCCTGTTTGCTTCAAAGCCCAGGCAAGCTGCGCTGCCTCGGATGCTCAGGGGAGGTTGCAGCGACTACAGGAGCAGAGGCTTGGTGGCAGTAGAAGTAGAAGAAGAAGAGGAAGAACAGTAACAGTAGTAGTAGTAGGGGTAGTAGTAGTAGTAGTCGTAGTCGTAGTCGTAGTGGTAGTGGTAGTGGTAGTAGTAGTAGTAGTAGTAGTAGTAGTAGTAGTAGTAGTAGTAGTAGTAGTAGTGGTAGTGGTAGTGGTAGTGGTAGTGGTAGTGGTAGGGGTAGTGGTAGGGGTAGGGGTAGTGGTAGGGGTAGTGGTAGTAGTAGTGGTAGTGGTAGTAGTAGTAGTAGTAGCAGCAGCAGCAGCAGTAGCAGTAGCAGTAGCAGTAGTAGTAGTAGTAGTAGCAGTAGTAGTAGTAGTAGTAGTAGTAGTGGTAGTGGTAGTGGTAGTGGTAGTGGTCGTGAGTGGTAGTGGTAGTAGTGGTTTAGTAGGAGGAGGATGAGGAGGAGGAGTGGAGTCGGAACAGTCGCAGCAGTAAGCTTAGGGAAAGACATGATGAGCCCCAAGGTTGATAAAATTGTAGGACAGAGTATCCTACTCCTTTGACCCCACATGGACCCAAACTAGCCTTACGGTTTGGGGTTTAGGGTTGAAACTAGTGGCCCCCAAATGCCACACGGACCCTAATTCAGCGAACCCCGCCCAAGAGTAAGCTAAGGAGCAAGGGTGCGCGCGCTGTGGCCTTGAGAAACGCCCAAGCTCAGGCGCTTGTCGATCGTGGGGTCCCTTGCTTAAGGCTTGTTCCCTAAATCATGATAATATAGGGTTTCGCCATACGATGTAAACATCTCGGAAGCCATGATATATGGTTTTTCATTACCTAAACTACCATAAATAGCATTGCTTTTGTAAGTTCTTGCTATTCTATGATGAACCTTGGCATGGAACTTATAGGGGCCCTGCAAAAAAATGGTTTTGGCAGGTGAAGGTATGGATGGAGGAATATTCCTGATCTCAACCCCAAGCTCTGTAATGTCTATAATCAACTATATACGGGGCCGTTCAGGGCTGCAGGGGTTGAGCATTGTAAGTGCGAGATGCCTCAAGATAGTAGTGCTTCGCAAAAGGTTTGGTCTTGGCGTCTGGCACCCCCTTTAATCTCTGACCAAGTCTGTCAAGTCCTCTGAAACCCAGAACATAGCCGCCCTGGTATCCCTCTCAAGCCCTATACTATCCTATGCTACTGGGCGAAACTGTTTAAACATACGGCTGCAACACGCAAACCCTTGGAACCAAGATATCAGTGCACAGCACCCTAGATGAAGGCCCAAGACTCTGCCAGGTTGCTGACGCGGAGCAGCGTGCACTGCAAGAGGCGAGAACCCGGCAGGCGGGTTGGATGCACCCCCAAGGCCTCTTTTGGGCTTTAGGACTTAGGACTTCGGGTTGAGGTTTAGCGGTTTAGGGTAGGGTTTAATTGCCCTCTTTGGGGCTTCAGCACTCAGGTTTTGAGTTTAAGGTTTTAGCATCTTTCAAATTCAGTGCACAGGATAGGCGCCGAACCCTGCGACCCCCGACCCTTCAACCCTAATGTAGGGGCCTTAACTATTATACATTTAAATATCAAAAGGAACCCCCAGAGCCGGGCCAAAAAACCCTATTCTAATCATTAAGGCCCCTACATTACTTTCAGAGCCAAAGCCCCCAAGGCATCACCGGACCCTTGCAGAACCCTGAAAGCCTTTTCAGCACGTACGCACGCTATAAACGGCATAGTCACACTTCGAAGAAACTGTACATCGGTTTCTTCTACCGCAAGCCGTACACCCTAAGCCTCGAAAGCCCTAAGCTTCAAATCCCAAACTCCCTAGAGTCCTAAACTGCTTTCACCCCAAACCCAAAATGCCGAACCCCTAAGGCTCTGCTCCCAAACACCCTAGAGCCATGAATCCTAAACCCTAAACCCCTATTCCCCACCCCCCAAACCCTCAAAAATCAAACCCTGTTGAGCTGTACCACCTTGTGGAGTCCATACAGAACCTTGTCTGCTCCCTTGAAGGAGCCCTCATGGGATCCTGAGCAACACCAAACAGCATTCGGCTTTTACGTAATGAAGCGGAAGCTGTTTGGCAAGCAGCCGCCTTCCCAGGGTCCCAACCGTGACCGTCCACTGCCTCGCAGGTTCCGGCACTAGGACTACTTCCTGTGAAGCACCCGGAACTCGATAGGAGCCCCCTCCAGAGCCTGGGGGGCGTCCGAGGCAGCGAAGCCAGCAAAGAGGAAGCGCAAGCGCAACACCGGCATGCGTCGCGCGGCCAAGGAGCGTGGAGGTCGCGGCGTGACCTCTCCTACCGCGAATAGTGCCGCCGGATCGCACCGGCCATACTTGACTGCCGGACGAGGGGGATTGGGCAGTGCCGGCGACGGCGGTAGGTCTGCCTCATGTGCTGCGCGAACGGTAAAGCGAGACCGCGATGCGCTTCACTCAAAGGAACATTGAAGGAACTCTTACAAGAACCTCTCAAGCAACCCGTGAAGGCAGCCTCAACGGAGCCCACAAAGGAAACGTTGCCCGAAACCCTAAACCCTTATCGATCCCGTAAAGGATCCCTTGAAGGAGCCCTTATATACAGAATCCCTTATCGGATCCCTTAAAGGAGCCCTTGAAGGAACAATTTCTTGGAGGTTCATGGGACTTCTTAAGTGAGGCTCTGAGGTTATAAGTACGTACCCTAAGCGGGGTTATAAGTTGTTAGAAGGATTCCTAAACCCTAAAACCCTAAAGCCCTAAACCCTAACCCCCCTCTCCTAAACCTTTAAACCCAAAAAACCCTGCTATAGATCCCTTACAGGAACCCTTAGAGAAAGCCCAAGCCTGGCGACCCTCAGGCTATGCTGGATCGCCGTGAGGCGGAGGTCGAGGCCTTGAAGCAGATCACGAGCTCCTTGAGCCTTGGGATTTAGGGGTTTAGGGTTTAGAGATTTGGGGTTTAGGAGTTTGGGGGTTTAGGGTTACAGGTGGTGGAGTTTGGGGGTTTGGGGGTTTAGGGTTTAGGAGTTTAGGGGTTTAGGGTGTAGGCTCCTTGAGCCTTGGCTGGTCGTAAAGGGATGTTTAGGGTCTTTTGAGGCTGCCCTTAAAGTAAAAGGACTTGGTAGGGGATTTGTGGGTCTTTTGAGTGTTTTAGATGCTTTTTCTTGAGGGGATGTGAGTTACAGGGTTGTTGCCAGTGCTTTTGGAGGCTTATCTTCAAGAGGTTCATAGGATTAATTATAGAGTCTTACGCTGGTCGCCTATGTTTTTCTAGCAGTTGGCCTGTCTTGTTCCAAAGGATCCCTGTACGTATATAGCATGTACTGAAGCCTTAACGTCTATACGGGCACATGGAGCCCGGGTACAGGGCTTGAGTACAGCTTAAGGCTTAAGAGCTTCAGAGGGTCTTATAAAGCTTTCTGAGCATTCTAGAGCGCCCTAAGCATAGGTTGTGTTTTTGACAGAGGCTTCGAATAGAGGCTTCGGATAGCTTGTCACAGGCGCCTTGTCCTTGTATTGTTTTCTTAAGTTCAGGTGTTCTGGTAGTTTTTTAGACCTCCAACAGCTCGGACACAGGCGGTTTACGGAAGCCTCGAAGCCTTCCGTCCCAAGCCCGCCCCCCACGGAAGCCTCAAAGCCTTAAACCCTAAACCCTACTTAGATGATCATGGGACTTAGTAACTAGGGTTATAATCACTATACTTATAGTATATTTACTTATAACCCCACCTAAGGTACTTACAACCATACTTACTAAGTCCCATGATCCTCCAAGCAAGGCCTCAAAGCCAAGGAACTCCAGATGCAAGACCTGCGCTGGCGACCTGCGGAACATCAGCCGCACGCTTGAGGCACAGACTTGTGAACGAGTGGTGTGCGAGGGTTTGGGGTTTAGGGTTTGAGACTTTGAGAGTTTAACCCGGAGTAGTTTCAGTGACTTCTTAACCGTACTTCTGGCTGTCTTTACAGGGATCGTATTGAGAGGTTCTGCATCCCAAAGGCCGCCTAATCCGAACTCCTATCTAGCTCTTTAAGAGTTCTTTTGCGAGGATCTTTCGGTGGAAGTCTCTGTAATTAGCACCCTACTAGTACCATGCACAGCATTCGGGGGACCCGATTTTCCGAAACTCCCATATTACCTTTAAGGGCTTGAGGCCTACAGTGCTTTAGGGGTACGGTTTGGGGATTCGAAAGGATTCGAGCTTCAGGTTTTCGCTTCTGGCCAAGATGTCCGGGTTGTGTTACCGTTAATATAGGCCTAAATAATTACCTACACTCTTTTTGGGGCTCCGTATTAGGATTATAGTATTATAGTATAATCTGCCCCAGCTAAATGCTAAAACCGTCAAACCCCAAACCCTTCTCTAAGGGCCCAAGTAGTCCTTAGCTATGGGCTTTGGTACGTAAAAGGCCCTAAAGTCCTGTAAGGCCCTCTGGGGTTAATCAAGCCGTAGAAACTGTAAAGCATAGTACTCAATAGTACGATCATGCAATACAGCCCTTATCAGAATGCTGTTTCAAGAGCCCTGTAGTAATACAAAAAGCAAAATTCCTAGACCCCTGAACCTTCCCGCCGATTCTTTGTGCTGTTGGAGGTTCATGAACAGTTACTTATAACCCACCTTAACGGACTTACTGTAGGAACCTACAACCCCAACATAGTAGGATTCGTATAAGGAACCCTAATAACGGTCCAAGGTTTCTTTATCAGGTTCCTGCATTATAACTCCACGTACAACACCCACGAACCTCCGAGATTGCCAGGCAGCTGCAGGACAAGCCTCGGATGTTCGCCACGAGAACCTTGGTCTTCCGAGAGTGTTTAGGGTTTAGGTGTTTAGGGATTTAGGGGTTCAGGGCTTTGGGATTTAGGGATTTAGGGGTTATTTAGAGGTCCCCAGGACTTATCAGGGATATGAGGATTCGCTCAGGGTTTTAGCAGACACCTATCTGTTTGGGTAAGGGTTCTTTAAAGCTTTCAACAGCTTTTGTGTCTGACGGCCCTTTCAACATCTGAATGCAGGTCTGAATAGCTGAGACCTCCCTCGACCAAGCAAGTGCACCCAGAAAAGCAAAGGCAGCAAACTCAACCTGAGAGCTCCAATTACAGTGAAGTTCCAGAAGTTGCACATTCTCCTAAACCCTAGACCCTGGAGAAAGCGGAGTTCTACTTTAAAAATTCAAAACGCCAAATACTAAGCCCTAAACCCTGAACTAAATCCCCACATCAAGCCAATTACCAATATCATCCCTTAGGGTTCCTTATCCTTACTTTACGATACCACAAAGAAGCCCAAAACCTTATTCCAGTTATCTAGGCCCCTACATGATATCAATCCGGTGAGCTGAGGAAGCGATTGGTACAGGACCGCTGCCTCAGTCTGGATGCACGCGAGGCAGCACTCTTGACCCTGGAGAGAGCCTGGCGCGAGGTGGCTCACTACCTGGCTACCTCAGGGTCTTTCCCGTTTTTTGAGGGCGCTTCGCATGGTTAGTCTATATTATTTCAAGGGTCCTTCACGGGGGCTGCCTAAATAAGGTCAGATAAGACTCAGCCCTCAAGAAAACCCACTGACGCTGATCTTGAGCATCAGTGGTACCTGGTGTTTATGTAGTTGGCACGATGTGGGGATTCCTGAACCCCAAGATATCTGCACCCGTTTTCCCTAGTCTTATCCCTAGTCATGAGCTATGAAGCAACATTCAATTTCTGCCTAGGCACAGAAGCCCTAAGGCAAAAGCCAGAAAGTTGGAATATGACTATCCTAACCCTTCTATGGTAAATTATAGGGTATCCTACCATGAAACCATATTCCAACTTTCTGGAGTTCCCTGTAAGCCATAAACTCTATGCACCCCAGAAACCCTCAAGCCGGCAGTAGAACATGCCCTCCAAACCCCAAAAACCCCTAAACCCCAAGCCCTCAACTGTACACCCCGATTAAACCTAAACCCTCAACCCCAAGCCCTAAACCCGAAAACCCCTAAGTTGTAAACCAAAAGGCCCTGGGTTTAATAGATCTTTGAGATACCTGTATGGATTCCTTTAGCTTCCAGGTGGCGCGGTCGAATTCGGCGAGAAGCCCAAGGAAAGCCCTCGACGCAGCGCGGGAGCACCTCAGCCGTGAGCTCCTTCGAGACAAGGCGGCTGATGTGCTTAAAGGATCATGAGACTTAGTAACTAGGGCTATAATTAAGGTAATTGTACCTATAACTATACTTATATCCCCACTTAGGGTACTTAAAACCTTACTTACTAAGTCCCATGATCCTCCAAGTGTCCTTTCAGGGTCTTTAAGGGTTCTATAAGGGATCCTTGAATGGCCTTAGGGTTCAGGGCTTATGTGAGGTCCTTAAAGGGTTCTTTAAAGGCTCTCTAGGGGTTCTACAACAAGTCCTTCAAAATCCTTTCAGGGTCTTTAAGGTTTCTTTGGAGTTCCTTCAAGAGTTCCTTTCAGAGTTCTATACAGTTCCTGTGAGGATCCTTTTCCTGTTCGGCTCCTTTCAGGATTTTCTATGGCTTTTGCAGGCCGAATGACTCGAGTATTGGGGTTTTGAGGCATAATATATTTTATACACGAAAAGGGACCCCAAGAATCTTAAAGCATTTTTCAAGCTTCTGTAGCTATTAGGAATCTGCAGAAGCAGCAGTGGTAGTAGTAGTGGTAGTAGTAGCAGTAGTAGTAGTAGTAGTAGTAGTAGTAGTTGTAGTAGTAGCAGTAGTAGTAGCAGTAGTAGTAGTAGTCGTCGTCGTCGTCGTAGTGTAGTAGTAGTCGTAGTAGTAGTAGTAGTAGTAGTAGTAGTAGTAGTAGTAGCAGCAGTAGCAAGAGTAGGAGCAACGAACCTGTCAATGGACCATGACAATGGCTTGAGTAGACTGGGTATCATAACATCATTATCGGGGGAGAATGATCAGGAGATTTGCAATGATAATTATGACAACCGTCTGCAAAAGCAACCACTGCCTGGTCAGCCGTGTACGTGTGCAAACCACAGGCAGTACGACAATCAGACCAGTACTGACCGAGTGCCGGCTGTGAGTGAATACGATCGCGCATGCGTTGGGGAAACGTGGGACCGCGCTGAAACCTTTGGAACAAGCCGAGCCGTGATCCACAGGCTCTCCGCGCGATTGTTAAAGATCAAGCTCGCAGTGGCTGATACATTCTTGTAAGATAGCAGCTTCGCAAGAATTTATGGAGCTTCGCCATCACCATCACCCAGACGACCTGTGCATCTTTTCTATGCACAATGTTTGATAATTGTGCTTCTACTCTCCGTGGTGCTGCTTTGCACGCGAGGATATTAGGTTTTAGTGGCTTTTGCAAGGTTACACTTCCGAGTACGAGTCTTGCTGGGACTTCTGTCATTGTCACATACATCTGGATCATTCTGCTCTGATTCCTTTGATTTTTCCATCATTACATGTAGTCTGCCACATGGCAGTTTCCGAAAATTAGGGGTACCTTGTTGTGGGGTCCTTATAATGAGGACCTTACTAGTTAGGTACTCTATAGGGCATTAGGGTCAATTCTTCTATTTAGTAATATTTATAATAAAATAATTGATATAAATAATACTGGTTTCAATATTTACAATACAATAAAAGTTATACATTTAAAAAATATTGACATTATTACTGATTTTAATCAAATAAATTATGATATAATTGAAGATATAAGTTTAGAAGATTGTAATAATGTATTTAATTATAGCAAGTTTAAAAAATTAAAATGTTTAAACTTATTATATGTTGACAATATATATTATATTAAAAGTAATGTAATTGAAAAATTAACAGTTTCAAACTGTCCTAATTTAGAACAGATATATTTACCATATTTAACCGATATGGATATAAATAAATGTGATAAATTTACCCCAAATATTATTCAAAGTAATTTATTAAAGAGTATACGATTGAGAAATATGGTTTGTAATAAAATAATATCAGCGTCTTGTACTGAAATAATATTAATAAATGTTTTAAAATTGTATGATTTAAATTGTCCTTTTCTATATACTTAATTATATATAATAATACTAAATGTATTAAATAATTTATTTCATATAGAATTAAATCACTGTGAAACTCTAGAATATTTAGTTTTTGATAAATATTGTAAAAAGAATAATATTTTGTCCAAAGTTAAAAAAATGATAATATTATGTTTTATTATTATTTTAAATATAAAATTATCAATAATGAAAATTATTATTCAAATGATTTAAATGAACTTTTTAATTAAATATTAATATCTTATAATTATTTATAGATCCAAATATAGATAAAAATATTAAACAAAATTATTATAAATCTATAATATATAATAAAATCAATAATTCAATTCAAATAAAATTAATATTAAACAGATTATGAATATTTATTAAATGAATTTGATTTTTTTAAAATTTTACCCTACATATGATGTTAATATCCATAGGATTTTTTTTAAATATGGAAATCATGAATATAATCTTTCATTAGAAAATAATGAAGAGATACCTTTATTTACATATACAAATAATCAACAAGAAAAAGAAATATTAGAAAATTCATCAAATAATTATATAGATAATAATAGTGTAAATATGATGATAAATAAAAATATTAAAAATACAATAAAAGTTAATTATATAGAAAATAATAACATGACACAGGATGAAATAGATTTTTACAATGTATCTATTAAAACTATAAATAAATTAAAAAATAAACAAATTAAAAAATAATATGAATAATAATATTTAAAAAATATTTATATTTTATAATTATATATATTATGTTTAAGTTTAAACCTTTATTATATAATTTTATTATTGCACGTTCTTTAAAAGTAGGAGATAATATTGAAAATGGTCCTATGTTAAATGATTTTCAAGTAACTATTGATGCAAATTGGAGATGGATACATATGCCAGATGGTTCAAATTGTTATGAAGGTATTTGGAAATGTAATGATGATTGTAATAATTGTTTATTAGAAGGTATAACTAGAGAAGAATATAAAAATAAATATGGTGTATGGTCAGATGGTTCTACATTAAATTTAAAATTTATTACAAATAATAATGTTGGTTCAAGATTATATTTATTAAAAAATAATGAATATTGGACTCCTAATTATTTAAATAAAGAATTAAGCTTTGATGTAGATTTTTCACAATTAGAATGTGGTATGAATGGAGCTATTTATATGGTTGAAATGTCAGCTGTTAAATATTTACAACCTCTTGGTGTAGGATATGCTGATGCTCAAGGAGTACCTACTAAATATTTTAGTGATGGTAGAATTAATAAAGAAAATAAAGGTGTATTTGGTGTGGAAATAGATTTAGCTGAAGCTAATAAAGAAGCAATGGCATGGACTATGCATCCATGCAATTCAGAAGGTTGTGATAGTCCAGGAGCAGATATGAATTCGTATCGTCAAGGTTTTAAAAACTTTTATGGACCAGGTAAACTAATTGATACTAATAAACCATTTACAATTATTACACAATTCATTGGTGATCCATTAAGAAGTATTGTAAGGTTTTATAAACAAAATGGTAAAGTATATGAACATCCTACTGGTCCAATGAATATTAAAACAATTAAGAGATGGCATAAAATATTTAAATCAGAAGATACATTTTCAAAATATGGAGGTTTTGAAAGTTTAACACGTGCTATTAAGAAAGGTGTTGTATTTGTAGTATCAATATGGGATTCACCGGGATCTGATGATCCTAATGATTTACAATCAAATATGAATTGGTTAGATAGTTTAGACAGAGGTCCTTGTACAAAAAAAGATAAAAATCAATTACGAAGTAGATTTTCAGAATCTATTTCTAAAGTTTCAAATATTAAATTAACAGAATTAAAAGATAGAATTGTTACAGATAAATTAAATGATGATGATCCTATTGAACGAAGTCATTCAAATGTAATATCTTCAAATAATTTAATTAAAGAAAAAGACGAAGAAGTTATTGAATGTAACTCTAATCATGATGAAACTTGTACTAATGAAGAACATGATAAATATGAAGAAAATTTAAAAAATATAAAATTACAAAAAAAAATAAAAAAAACCATTTTGTTGTTTTAGTGCATCAGATAATGAAAATTTTTGTAATACTTGTTATGAAGGTGCTAAAACATATAAAAACGCTGGAAAATTTTGTGGTCAATCATCATTAAAATGTATGAGTTGTTCAGCAGAAGCAAGATGGTGCGAATAAAAAAATGAAAACTTTTTTAGATAAGATATTTAAATATAAAATATATTTACCATAGCAATTTAAGAATATCATAAAGATATAATATAAATAAAAATATGTTTAAATTAATGACAACATCAGGTAATATTATATCTTCATACAATGAATTAACTAAATACAAAAATAGAAATTTTAGTGTATTCTATAATACTGATAAAATTATAACTGGTTATTTATTTATTACTGTAGAAAAAGAAATGAAACAAAATCGTTACACAATTGATCTCGAACCATTAATATCATTAGAAAAAAAATATTATTTAAATATATTATATCATACAGATATTAGTTTTGAAAATATCAAAGGAAATCAATT